AAGTTATGCAGCTGTAATGGAATGGATAACTAAACACTTACAGAGTAAGCCAACCACACTGACAAGGACAGATGCAATGGATGGTAGGGATTGCAAACTGAAAAGCTATTTATGAAGACTAGATAATTGCACCTACTGTACCCTAAAGGAAACAGTCAGCACAAGGTCCGAGTGCAGCTACCCTCTGGCACAGCCAGTAGAGCAACTGTTCAAGGATTCAGTTCAAAGGCTATTCTATTCAAGAGGCTGTTGAACCCATTTAAGTTTTCATGGTTCTCTTCAAGGGGTCCATTGCTTGCAGCCTCTGAAGTCCTCAGCTCAAAGATTTGGTAAAGTGCCAACAATACATTTAACCATTAGAAAAGTAACACCCATATCCTGGAGAGAATTACAGGCCAACATGGTAAGGCAGCAGTGCATCAGAATGATTATTTAAGGCCAGACAGGAAGCTTTCATGGTTGAAAAAGCCTCAAGATAGCCACAACTTCCACATTTCTTACTATTGAGATGTCTCATCAACAAAGGCACGGGCTCTTCTCTGGACTCTGACTGGCAATCACTGGCCGAGAGTCCAGATAGATGCTGTTGGGAGGATTCTCCCCATGAAGCTGCAAGGTGTTCCTGGCTATCAGTTCCTTTGCCATCAGTGTAAACACCTCCTCTATGTTCTGGGCCTCTTTAGCTGAGGTCTCCAATACAGCCAATAGCCCGTGCTTCTCAGCAAGTGTGCAGGCATCTTCAAACAGGACCTGGCGCTTATCCACAGCATCAGATTTGTTCCCTTTAAAGAAAAGCATGAAAACAATGGAATTCTTTATTCCCAGATAAGTTTTAAAGATACTTTGCAAAGAAGAATTGTGTTTGAGGAATAGAATTATGCACAAAGTTATTGGAATGTTGAATATAAACCAAATCTCAAATTAAGTGCATCTAAAGCCTTTGGCACCAGTAAAGCAAAGGTTACCAATTTATTCAGTCAGTTGCTGATATCCTCTCTCCATCCAATGACTCGTTGTAGGAAAACAAACAGTTCAGGAGCACCAGTGTGGAAAGAATCCACCTGTCATTTTGTAATATACTAGAGGCTGTGCCAAGTTAGAGGAAGAGTCATATTAGAATTAGTGTATGTATGGAACTGGATTTTCTCTAATTAGCATTATGGTCATGAAACCAACTATAAACAAATATTGCCAAGAAAACCTAGTGCACCACACAGAACTTGTTAGTATGACATTACCATTAATATTGAAGTCACAACGCTTAAGAACAAGTGAGTCATATTTCTGCTACAAAATAAGACAACTTTGGCCTGCATCCCAAAACCAATTCTGAGATATTGGTTGAGTCAGGTCTCTGGGGAAAACAGGACAGAGAGACTAATCTTTGGCCTCTACCACCCAAGACTCGGATATTAACTTATTAGCACCTGTAAGGTATTTAGAAAAAGTAGTCAGATAAAAATCAACTTATCCTAGTTGTTAGGCATTAAGATATTAATATCTGGTGCAAGTTAGAATGTACCTCTAGTTAACAGCAATGCTATCAAATAAAATTATTTCCCTGCCTTATTGCTCTGACCAGAAAGCATTATTTTGCTAGTGATAAGTTTTAAACATCCTTGAGCAATTTGGAGCGAGCTTTTCAGCAGATTCCAGTCTTGTGTTGTTGAAAGGCAGTCTTTTTTTTTTTTTTTTTTTTTTTTTTTTACTGGGACTGGGTTTCTGGTCTGTCTGGGTTATCCTTGCTGTGTCACTTACTTGGGGTTGCCAAATCAGCACTTGTGAGGAGTCTGCTGTATACCATTCCCAGAACATGGCTAAGGTAAGTCCACTTTTCCCTCTTTACGACTACACAGGCATAAAGGTCTGAATGTGTTGTTCTTCTTGCTTTTTCAGAGGAGTAATATGATGAACAACTTACCTACTCCATAAATAGGAACAGACTATTTTGAAGCATGCACAAGCAGAGGTCTATACCTCAACACCTACCATGCTTGGAGCCCAGGCTTGCTCAGTCCCAGGAATAGTTTGGGCTGGCATTCTCCTGTTCTCATCCATGCTGCACTCAGCACAGTGCTGGGATCAGGATAGGTAGAAGCAGAAGGTAAAGATGAAGCAAGGAGGCTCATAGATCAAAAAATAACTCAAAGAACAAAGTTAGATTCATACCAATTAACATAATGACCAAGTTAGCAGCTCCATATTTTTCAATTTCATGAATCCAGTGGGGAATCGATTCAAATGTAGACCTCCTGGTAAGGTCATAGGCCAAGATTGCACCATGGGCACTGCGATAATAACTCTGGGTTATTGTCCGGAAGCGCTCCTGGCCTGCTGTATCCCACACCTGAATCTGCAGAAAGAAAGAACAGAAGTGGTAAAGCCCCATGAAGTGCCATTCAATAGACATCAGTGAGATTTTCATTAGAAAGATATGCTGCTTAATACTAATAGGCCCTGTCCCCTGCAGCGACAATCATGTTACTTAATCTAGTTAAAAAAAAAAACAACCAACAACAATTTCTAGATGCATAGAGCCAACCCCTCCCCAAATCACATTGTTGCTGCGTTGCAGCAAGCTTTGCTATCTATGCATGTGCCTATAACCGAGTTTGGATTGACAAGGGCAAAAAAGGGCTCCATCATATCACAACAAGGCTTAGACATCATCCCAACAATACAGATATAAACTGGTCAGCAAACCAGAGCTGTACTGTTAAAGTTTTAGGTGAGCAAAGGAGGAAAAAGAGAGAGAAAGAGTCCCTTGGAGCACAGAGATGGTTGGGCAGGGAGAAGGGAAATATGAAACAGCCTGTAACCAAGCACACAGTTTCACCACAGGATGACCCTGAAGCAACTGCCAGGGAAGCTTTTCTGTGGGTCCCTAGGTTTTCCTGAGGGCTGAATGCTCAACTGGCTTCAGGAAGGGCAGAGACCTGGGAAGGAGGGGCAGAGAGAGGCCCCCTACAAGTCTCTGCTGCAGGACACGTCGCTAGCTTCTTCTCTGCAGTGAAAGGGGCAGGGGAAGGGGAAAGCAGGAACTCCCCCATCTCCAAGCTAGGCATTGAATCCTGAAGAGCTGCATAACATCGCAGAGCTGGGGGGCCTCAAGGGTCTCCCAAAGCCCTCTGGGGAGGGGAGGGGAGGGCAGCAGGGCCGGGCTGCCCTGCACCTGCGACCTCACAGCCAGGCTGCATCCCGGCACCTCCAGCTTCGCTGGCACAGGAGAAGCCAGCATCACCAGGCCTTAAATATGAAATCATGTTGGAAGCTCAAAATTAGTCACATTTACTGAAGAAAATATGCAAATAAGTCCTTTTTTCCTTCATACTGCTCGCTGCAAGTCGCCAGCGAGCAAGTGAGATGTGGGCCATCAGAGTTGCATCTTTTTTTCTGGAGGTGTCACAAGAAAGAGCTGGCAGCGAACCCAGGAGTCAGCGAAGACCCCCGACAGCGATTTGGGGCTCACCCTCGCTGCATCCATGTGCTGCCTCGAAAAGCATCGGACACTTGGAGCCCTTTTCCTATTCCTGGTCCCACAGGGACCGAGGCCACGGTACACACGCGACAGCCACCATGCCCTGGGAGCGGGGCTGACCTTAACCTTCTTGCCGTCCAGCAGAAGCGAGCGCACGGAGAAGTCGACGCCGATGGTGTTGTGGTGGCGCTCGCGGAAGTGGCCGCTGTGGAAGCGGTGCACCACGCACGTCTTGCCCACGTCCGAGTCCCCGAGCAGGATGATCTTGAACAGGTAGTCGCACGCCTCGTCCGGCACCAGCCCCAGCATCGCCCCGCACACCCGCCTACCCGGGGCGGCCCTCCCGTTTAACCACCCCACAAGGCGGCGGCTCGGTAAAGGGAGGGGGAGGGGAAGGCCCCGCGCCCCTGCCGCCGGCCCCACCTCTCACCTGCCGGGCCTGGTGGAGGCTGCGCACCACCCGCTCCGCGCTCGGGGGCTGCTGGGAAACGTAGTCGGGCGCCGCAGGAAGGGGCGGGGGAGGACCGCGCGCGGCGGGGCGGGGACTACGACTCCCAGCGGGCTCCGGGGCGGAAGGGAGGAGGGGTGGATCACGTGACTTCCCGCGAGCCCAGTCGGGGCGTGGGGCGGGCGGCAGGTGAGTGCTGCAAACGTGGAGCCCGCGGTGGTGCGCCGGGGTGCAGGTGGGGTTGGAAACGGCGTTTGATGTGCGGGGAGGGGCTGCGTGGAGGTGCTGGTTTGCCTGGGCTGTTCCCTCGAAGCCCCCGATGTGGGGGAGGGCTGCGGGCGGTTGGGGAGCGCGGGTGACGTAGGTGGGCTCCATGGGTCGCGTGACGCAGGGAGGGGGGAGGGGTCTTTTCCCGCCGCCCGCTTGGGGCTGCCACGCACGCAGGGCCCCGCCGTGGGGCAGCCCCGGGGGACAGGCGGGCGTCGGGCCACGCTCACTGTCTGGCCCGGGGCGTGGGGCTGAGGTTACCCCCTCGTAGGGTTGCCAGCTCTGACTGAAGCTATTCGGGGAGATTTCCCCCCCCCCCCCCCTCAGGATGAACTGTCATTAATTGTACTGTTCAAGCCCTTCGCAATATCCATCTCCTGGACTGCTTTTAGTCCTCACCGGGAAATCAATGCCTTTTCTGGTAGACTCCTGGCTGGTCCAGGAGGGTTGGCAACCCTACCCCGCCAGGGGGTGCTCACACTGCTGCCCTTCACCAAGAAGCCCAGGTTCAGCCACTGCCACTGAAATCCTGCTTCGTTTTGGCCTCTTTAGGGCCTCCTTCATTTGTTCATTTTTAGATGTATTTGACCATGTTTTCATGCCAGAAGAGTAGTAGCTACTGAGTAAAAAGGCAACGATGTTCAAATGATGCCTGCTCCCTGGATAGCATAGATTAACTGCACTAGGAAGCTGTAGAAAGCTGGGTCAGACATCATTGCCAATCCTAACTTGAGCTACTGTCTTTAACTTGTTCCAGAAGCTGATCTGAGAAGTGGCTCCCTGCTCCCCGCAGCTGAAGGCTCTGTGGCCTCTGCCCCTCGCATAGACCTGCCAATTCCCATTTCTGGCCTCTTCTCTATCCCATAAAAAAGAAAAAAAAGAGAGAGCGTGCAACCATTACTGGTGCCTCTGCAGGTCACCTTCAAGAAAGGCAGCTGATATGAACAGGCTGGAGGGAAGGTTAGCTTAGGTTTTGCAGTGATAGGTGCTATATAAATACCTCCCAGACCTTGCGGTAAACACTGATTAGGTTTTAAAAAGGGGTTGGAGAAATGTGACTGGTGAGATGTTATGTTTGTGTTTGCTAAAGTTCTAGAAGTCAAGTGTATGCTTTGTGGGATAAATTCCTCACAGCAGGAGGGACCTTGTCTCTTCCGAGTTGCCCAACAGGCAGGATATGTTTTAAGATGGCTTGCTTTCCTTTAAAGACTTGTTCTTGGTGGCAATTCAGCACCAGGAATTTAGAAAAGCAAGTGGGAAACTGGATGGCAAGGTGTTCTCCAAACTGAACTTGAGGCAATGTATTGTCTTCTTGTAGACTTGTTGAATGAGTAAAGCACGGTAAGGATGTCTGCAAACACAAAGAGAGGATTTCTGTGTTTCTTGACTGATAAACTATGCGAATGCAGAATGTTTGGGTCTAGATTAGGGGCAGACAATTATTTGGGCTGGAGGGCCATTCAGAGAGTTTTGGTTAGCTGTTGGAGCGGTGGGAGTGCTGACCCAGTGCAACGGAGTGGGGGGCATAGCTGCAATCTGCTCCCCACATGCCTCTTCCTGTGGAACTGGCACCGATCGCAAGGATGTGCAGGAAGCCGATTGTGGCTCTACCCTGGGCCCTGACCGTGCACTGTCACCATCTCATAATCCCAGCCCGGGCTGCCAGTCCCCCTCCTCAGACACTGCTCTCTGCCCACCCATCTGGTCCAGTGTGCCCTGCCTGTGGGGGTCCTGGGTTGGTGTCTGTGGAGGCCCTGTGCACCCGCTCCACTTGGTGGTGGGTGCTTGGGCAGCAGGGCTGGGTGCAGCAGTTTCAGCGACACTGGCAGTGGCAACCAGAAAGAGCCGCTGCCATCAGAGCTTCTGGGAA